GAAAATGCTGAAAGCCTAAGAAGTGCACCAAGAAGTGGACGTCCCTGTGCATTAAATGTTAGTGAACAAAAAACTCTAAGAGAAATTGCATTAAAAAATAATCGCAGTTCTACAGAAGAGATTTAAAGAAAATTTGTTGGTGTCAGTGGTGTTGAAGTGTCAGTTAAAACAATTCGCAAAAATTTGCATGAATTTGTGATGTTTTAATAAATTTTGGTTTTTAGAAATTTTTGATGATCATTTTTTATATTTTTTATATTAATTGAAGTTCGTTTTTTTTTGTTAAAAAATTATTATAAATAGCAGAATTGTGAAAGATTGCATACACGTTCGTTAGAACCTAAGCTACATGATGATATTTTCAAAATTTTTATTATTATGTAAAAGTTTGCGGAATTAATAAAAATCAAGGTTCGGATACTTTCTTCCAGGCAGTGTAAATCATTTTTACTTTCAAAAATTACTTCCGTCTGATAAGTCAGAGAAAACTAATAAGGACTATGACGAGGACTATGCTCTTCTGCTAATTTGGTATTTTTATTATAATAATTTCTTTCTAGTTTGGCCTTAGACAGATGTTCTTTAAATCTTTTAAGTAATTCTTTGGCTTCTTCTTCTTGGCGAGCATTATAATGTAAACCATCTCTAAAATGTTGACAAGTATCACACAAATCAGTCCTTGGACTCATAATTTGAATCTCTGGTGTCAATTGATGTCATAACTTTCTGAATGCATCATATTTTAAGGATTTTTTCAATTTGCTGTTTTCTTCCAGATCAGCTAGAAAATCTCTATACACTGATTTGTAACTCATTTCAGCTGGTAAGAATACAATTGATTGGGTTATTCTATTGATACTTTTTCCTGGACTTGGTAATCCATGGACTTCTGCATAATTTTCCAGAAAATTCTTTACTATTTCTGCAACATTTTTATCAATCACCATTTTAGTTTTCCATTGAGGCATTCTTTTAATATTACCATGAATTCTTGGTAGGAGATCATTATTTATCAGGTGATTTTTAATATTTTCAAAATAAGTCCTGCCAATTCCCAACATATTGAGGTAAGTTTCTTGACATAGAAGTGTATTGTGATCCCAATGGTAGAAAGTTCTTTTATTAGATCTAGTTTTATTCTTAAGGCATCTACTACTGCTTATTGGCCCACCATCCATTGCCTTAAGTTGGACCATTAAAAATATGACTTGTTCTACTTTAGAAAGAGCTTGGAAAGATTCTCTTAATTCTGCAAATTTTTCCTTGGGAATTCTTGAAGAGCAGCCACAGTTACACCCTTTTTCTAAAAAATCAATTGCTTTTTATATTCAGTAGATCCATTATTTTCATTATTACTTTTCATATACCTATAACCCTATATATATAATTTTATGTTTACTTTGTAGGTTTTTTAACAACAAAATAATATATAAAATTGTAATTTTCACCTTATATTTATTCACTAACCCCATGATGTCTTTTTGATTGCTTCTATGATAAAAGATTTAATTCTTGGTGAAATCAAATCATCTAAAAGCATTCACCAAGATAAATAAATATATTGCAAAAAATTATGTCTAGAGCTCTGAAACGAGTCAGGTTGACCTGAGTCAACCTGCGGGTTGAACCGAACAGGTCGGGTCGGGTCATGATTTAATTGACCTGGGTTTGACCCAGGTCAACATCATGTTATAATTGCCTTTAAAAGTTCAAAATTATTTTTGAAACTAGTATAGATACT